GGTCATGGCTCAGCAGCCCCTGCAGCCACTTTCAAGAGGCCTGGAGAAGCATGGTTACACTGATTACACCGCACTAGACCCAACATGTCCTTTGCTAGTTCAAAACAAGAAGCTGCCGTCGGAATTACATTACGTTGTAGGATTTTGTGGCAGCTTTTGGTGAAGACTGCGAAAAAGCAGCCTGACTAGGAGGCCTGTGGATGACATAGACGCTTAGGCCTAGGCAGCCTTGTCCCAAGGCTTACGATCCTGAGTTGTGACTTGATTGGGTTTAGGGTTTAGGGTTCTCCTTATTAGGTCAACAAGCATGTGAACAATGAGATGCCGGACGAATTCTGCCGTGGTTCCTCGGTCGCTGTTCGGACCTCCAGAGTTCACGGGCTCAGGGTCGAGCCAGTGTGTTGGTTAGCAGTAAATCTAGTTGACTTGGAGAGAAGCCGGAAGCAGAACTGCCAATAGTAAACCTAGACCTCTACTCTGATTGGATAGGGTGTGGTATGGGCCAGACCAGTCTTAACGCGAGATCGCGGTCTTGAACATCAGTCCGAGACAAGAGCACTCGGGGTTTAGTGCCGATCGACCATGTGTGTTTTCGGTGTGGTGTCTGCGAGTGTTCCTGAACAAGGTATGGAAGCGCAGTCATGAGAGCTGAACTTCTGTAGGCTCAGACAACCAGGCGATTGCACAAGTCCTGATGCAAAAAGTGCCGGTATCGAAGTATCTTTTCTTTGACGCCCATCCGTCATGGCGTTAGGTTGGTGTGAGGTGCTTCTCCGGTTGCTTCAGGACTAACGGTCTGACACTGAAATCTCTCCAGTCTCTTATGCTGGGATCCCGGTGGGTATGGAGGTCGAGGATAGGTATTCCGCCAGCAGCAGAATCAGATTTGCTTCCTGTGGTAACTGTCACTAAAGCCTAAAGCAGCAGAGGCGTGAGCACCGGCTGGGCAAGCCTGGATGAGTTGTACAGGCCCGTACGCGGCGAGGTCACAGTAGCCACATGGATGCAAAGCTCGCGTGTATTGATCGACAGTCTTGAATTATCTGGCTGAAACAGAAGTTCCAAAAGTCCTAGTCCTAGCCACACACGGGCCAGACCAACTATGAGGCAACAGCATCAGCATCCAAGACAAAGTCTCGACCAGGATTTAGAGTTCAGGGTTTCAAGCCTGTGTAAAAAAGGGTTTTGCCGCGAGTGCAGCAGCTTTGAGAACCAGGCGGGCATGTACAAGTCTGTGTAAAGTGTAAAACAGGTTTAGGGTTTTTGCATGTTTATGTTGGAACCAGGAGGCTGAAACGAACCTTGACTAGGCCAGGGGCAGGGAAGAGCAAGCGAGCAGGGAACCCACAAGCCTGACTTGCACATTTTTTATTTGCAGCTGCAGCTGCATCTCTGTCTTCCTCTATATATTTGTGTCTTTATATTACTCTATATCTCCAGACTCTACTCCTATCTCTGTATCTAGTATCTGTATCTACCTACCTATCTATTTATCTACCTACCTAGCTGTCTATCTGTCTATCTATCTATAAGTCTATAAGTCTATCTATCTATCGACCTATCTGTTTAATCGGTCTATCTATCAGTCTATCTCTCTGTCTATCCATCCATCTATCTATCTGTGTATGTATATGTAAATGCGTACATATAATATAATCAGTCTGTGTACATAATATTTATATATATATATATATATGGTCGCCCCCCCCCCGTTGACAGACCATGCCCTCTCAACTGAGTAGATGTGCATGGTGTGTCATCGGATGGGTGGCGATCAGCCCTCACAAACTCAATTCCAAAATTTCCAATATTCTCGCCCCTAACTTTCCGGATTTCCAAAAT